ATGCTGCTTGGCCTGCTGCGTTCATCCAGCTCTGCACCTTGTTGTCTTGGCTTGTGGATGTCACTGGTTGATGGCCAGCCCTAACTGCTCTTGGCAGGCTTGCTAGGCATGTCAGGGGATAGTTAAGAGTCAACCACATTTTGGTGTCACTTTTAGGCCAGTACACATAAAGTGAACAAATGGGGTTTTATGACAATCAACGACAGTTTCGTGGTAAATATTTCTGTGGCTAGCTTTCAATTTCAACTTTTATTAATTAATTGAATTTAAACTTATCGCCCTAGAACAGAAGCTTGGAACTCTGGATTACCAGCTCAATAACATTACCACTATTCTACTGTCTGTCCTTTTCTAATTGTGAAACCTAAGGACAGTGGAGAACCTTAACCTTAGGTGTCCATGCTAATATATTATTAAAATATTGCATACAGCTACAAAAAAGGGATCCAAAAGGTTAATTGAATGCTGGTCTTACATCTAGAGGATGAAGAATTCTTGGTGCTAGAAACTATGCTGTAATTATACTGACCCTTGATTAGACTGTATCTCAAGTGCTTTGCTTGGGACTGGACACACTGGTTCACAGAATGCAGTTAATATTTATCTAGAATGACAACTGTATTCCAGTGATTGAATTACAAAGCAAGATTACACAAACCAGAGATCCACAAAGTTAAAGGGTAAATTCATTAATGGTACTGATAGGATAGATGCACAGAAACTATTCCTGCTGGCTAAAACTCCTAAAAACTAAAACTTGATAAGTTACCTAAAAATTAAAGCCAGGCCTTTCATGGCCAAATTAATGAAACGCATCTACAAAGGATAGTTAGAAATTTGGAACTTACATTCACAAATGGGTCAAATGTTAATTTTAAACCTGAAATTGAATGGTCTGTGTTAATCAAATGTATTAAGAGATAATATGTCACAAGCATGTAACTGAAGTTAAATTGCAGATCCTTGAACAATGGAATAGTCATGGGGCTAAATGATTGATTGACTCTTGTTCAATGGTATGCAATAAACAAGACATTCCAGAAAATACTGTCATGGTTCAAAACTGTCTTTTCCCTTTAAAATAAAATGCAAGAACAGACTTCTAAGACAAGCCAGATGATCCTGCATATGTTTAACTTAATAAAGCAAGTATGTAGGAATAGAGACAAAAAAAAAAGCAGATGCTGCAATCCAAGGTAGAAAACAGGAGGCTGGAAGAACACAGAAAGCCAGGCAGCATCTGGAGGAAATGAGAAGTCAATATTTCGGGTATTACCCTTCTTCAGGACTGAAGAAGGGTAATACCTGAGACGTTGGCTTCAAGTATGTGGGAATGCTCTGTCACTTACAAAATAGTTGTTAACTTTGCTGAATATTCCCAAATCAACTTTGTTTTGAGCATTTCACAAAAAGGAAAACTCTGAATTGTTGTTTGGATACAAGATACGACCATTGGATTTTTGGACTTTCTATTTCTACCAATTGAACACCAACATTACAAGTCCCATATATCACATAATGCGATAATGGGTGAACTAAAATATTTGGGACTTACAAAAAAATTCCTACAATGCCATTACTTATGTTTCTACTAATGTGCACTCACTTGGTCAAGTACAGGAAAAGGATATACAGAACAATAAGAAAGCCATGAAAGGTCATAAAAAGAAATGTTAATCCAACTGACAAAAACAGAAAAGATGAAAATATGGAAGCATACAGCAAGTTGATCAGCAGCTGAAAGACTAGCAGGTTAATGGGATGATAGTGGAGATATTGCATAATACTTATCAGGAGAGGATAAAAAGGCTAAATCGTTTTTCTCTTGAAAGGAGACGGCTAGGAGCTGACCCAATAGAGGGTTTGTTAAACTCAGATAGAATGTTTTCATTTATGAGTAGAATTGTAATCAGATCATTTTCTCCCAAGTCAAATCAAAAAGGACTTTCTTTAAAGGTATAAGTTAGTAACATATCCTTTTACTCTTAGCAAGCAAGTCAGTCATAGCAGTTTACAGCATGGCAAGGCCTTTCGGCCCATCCTGTCCAGACCAATCATTAAGCACCTAGCTACTCGAGTCTCATTTTCCAGCATTTGCCACGTAGCCTTAAATGCTATGGCACTTCAAATGGTCATTTAATTATTTCTTTTAGGCAATGAGCTCCAGCTACCCACCATCCTCTGGCTGAAAACTATTCTTCCTTAATCTGTTGCCTTTTACCTTAAAATCAATCCTGATTATTGATTCCTCTCCTAAGGGGAATGTTTTTTTCCTAACTACCCTCTCTGTGCCCTTCATAATTTTGTACAACTCAAACAGGTTCCCCCCTCAACCTTCTCTGCCCCAAGGAAAACAACTCCAGCCTATTTAGTCTCTCTTTATGGTTGAAATGTCCAGCACAGGCAACATCCCGATGAATCTCCTCAGCACCCTCTGTAGTGCAGTCACATCCTTCCTACAGGCCGGTGACCAGCACCGCACTTCAGTTGTGGCCTTACTAGCATGTTACACAGCTTGATCATAACCTCCAAACTCTTGTATTCGAGTCCTTAACTAATAAAGGCAAGTATCCCTTATGTTTTCTTAACCATCTCACAGACACAAATAGTTGGCTTCATGGATCTGTGGACATGCACAATAAGGCGCCTCTAATCCCTTGTGTCTCCTACGGTCCTACCATTCATCATGTACAGGCTTGTTTTGTTAGTCCTTCCAAAAAACATCACCTCACACTTTTCAGCATTAAATTCCATTTGCCACTTTCTGTTTAATTGACCAGCCCATCTGTTCTGTCCTGTAGTCTAAAGCTTCTTTTTCATTATTTATCACACCACTAATTTTTATGTCATCTGTGAACTTACCGATAATACCTCTTACATTCGTGCCAAAATCATTAACGTACAGTATAAACAGCAAGGGAGCACAACAATGCCTGAGTTACACAAATGGACACAGGCTTGCAATCACAAAGACAACCTTTGGCAATCACTCTCCTGTCACTGTATCAATTCTAGATTCGATATGTCAAATTGCCCTGGATCCCACAGGCTCTCAAACCTTAGTCTTCTTATAGTTTAATGTATCTGTAAAATTGCATTATTGTTGTTATTTGTTGAAAGTACAGAATGAAATCAAAACCTTATTACAAAAATACTTCATTATTTTTAAACCAGACTTTTCTGTGTTACGACTTTTGCTAGCTCCGTTGACTGAATGGATGAAGGTCAACCGACACACATTGCATGCAAAAGAAGTATGTTGGTAAAATTAGGAGGAGAATCCAATGGGAGCATAAATGCCATTGTGACCTGGTTCTGTGTTGAATATTCACTGCTATATTTGAAGTCCAAAGCATGCTTCCAACATCTTACACTAGATTAAAATAAAAACCTATTCCTTCTCTATTTAACAGTGCATTTTCAGTTTTGTCTCTGTGGTTGAAGCAGTTCTGCTGTAGCTAGGGTGGAGATACAGGATGGGGGAATGAAATGGCCCTCCAGGTGGGTGCAGCGCGGCATTCTGGGAGATGTAGTTCCTATGTGACGTCATCCCACAAGTCCCAGCATGCAGCAGGGTCCTCTCGGTTACCGATGAAGACGACCATCGGCCGCGATTCCGCTCTGTCTAAAAGACCCGCGCTGGTGGGGACGTGTGCTGGATCTTATGGGGGCTATTTTGTTTCCTCTTCCCCTTCCCGGTTAAAAAGCAGGTGTTAGAGTACCTCTCCCATTCCCGAAGAAGCAGTTCCTCATCTTTACACTCCCCCTCCCGCAACACCACCGCCATTGCTGAATCTACACAGTGGAGGTCACGCGCACGTGCCTCCTCTCCAGCCTCTTTCCACTGGTAGCCTGGACTACTCCCCCTACAGCTCCCCCTTTCAGGAGGAGTCCAGCTTGTGCGGGACCAACTTTCCCAGGTACAACTGCCCTGTTTAAATTATACACATTTCAGTGATCAAAGTGGTTAAGCACCATTTAGGTCATTAAGCTGCCTCACCAGTCTGAAACTAGGCAGAAAATACAATGCTGTCTCAACGTTTTAGTTGGTAATTTGTCACTCACATGCCTCTACACCATAGACATAACTGATGGATAAAATTAATTCATCTTAATAGCACATTATGGAGTTAATTTGAAACCATAAACCATACTAATCTCCCATCTTAGCGACTTAAATCAAACAAAGTGTGAAATTGTAATTCTGTTCACTTAAATAGAAGTAAAATTAGCTCTTTTTTTCTCTCCACAGTTGCTACCAGGCCTTTTGAGTTTATCCAGTAATTTCTGTTTTTGTTCATTTAAGATCACATTTCTTTGTTTTATATTAAAGTTAGGTGCTGATTAATGCCCATTTTATAGGTTTGCTATATACAGTAGCATAAGTTTTCATTATATTCACATACAAAAGACAGTCTAAAAGAAGGAGCTGAATTGCAAATCTGAATTGTTCAAACATTATGACTTTTGCAAATTAGCTACAGAGCAACATTTAATTTTGATGCAAGTGATTTCTGCAGATGCTGGAAATCAGAAGTTACTGGAAAAACTATGCAGGTCTGGCAGCATCTATGGAGAGAAAGCAGAGTTAACATTTTGAGTTCAGTGACTCTATTTCAGAATACCAATTAGCAATTTAGAATTATAGCAAACATTGAATGCTTATTCTCCACAGCAATGCAGCTGCCACTTGAAAACAGTGAGAATAAGCATTTGATGTTTTGCTATAATACTAAATTGCTAATTGGTGTTTTATAGGGAAGTCGTTCCTATTTCTGCGATCTGAATCCTGCTGTTAACTCATCCACTTAGAATCTGTTTGCACTGAGCCAACAAATCTATTACAATGTAGTAACTTCAATCTGTTGGTAGTCATTTAGCTTTGAGTAATTTGAAGCAGAACATATGGTAAGTGTAGCATGCTTCCAGGGCTCTTCACACTGGACTTTCCTTGTATTCTGTTTGGATCTGTTGTAGATATTCTCTAATTAACCAGTTCAGAGATGTTATTACGCACCTATGGAGCATATCGGACTTGAACCCTGGCCTCCTTCTCAGAGGTAGGGCCACAAGGGCCTTCTGGATCTGCTGTACATTGAACAGAGATTGATTGACATTTAATGACAAAAAGCAAAGTTGTTTGACTGTGGTCTTGGTCAGCAATTCCAACACATTTAGTGTTTAGGCATCACTTGAGATGAGCACACAATTCAAGAAATCAGTACTTCCTTACAGTAGTAACTATGCACTGCACTGAGCACCTAGTACAGATCTACAAAAGGAAACAAACCTACCATTTGTTCCTACAGATAATTACAGGGAACTCCAATTTACTTTCAAATTATTTTTACAACCAATGTGGCAAGAGATGAGGCTATCTTGTCCTGCATTGTAACCAGAGATCCAAAAGTTAAGATACGAAGAAAGATCATTTTAATTTTGATCACAACAGAGGAACATGGAAAGAGTTAATAGGACAATTGGTGAGAGAGTACAGGATATGTGGACATGACTTCAAAAGCAGAGCCATTTAAGGTAGAAGGAAATACTTCCACAAAGGATGGCTCTCTCCTATTAAAAAGTAGTGGATGCTAACTCTTTTTTATTAGAAAAGGGAATTGGGGATTATGGAACCAAAATGGGTAAATGACATTAGGATACAGATTAATCTCATTGAATGGTCTCCTTGTGCTCCTAGTTTCGGAAATTTTCTCCTTAAACTCTTCAACTTCTAACGTATTTTTGGAACTTTAGTCATCTCTCCCTCATTAATTCCTCTACAGGATAAACTCCCAATTATTTGCTAATTAGTTATGCTATATTAGAACAATTAAAACCCCACAGTGTGGAAGCAGGCCATTCAGGCCCACTGAGCTTCCAAAGGGTATCCCATCCAGACCCACCCCTGTATTTCCCATGGCTAATCAAATAACCCACATGTCTTTGGACTGTGGGAGGAAACCTGCCCAGACACAGGGAGAATGTGCAAACTCCACACACACACACACACAGACAGACAGACAGTCACACGAAGGTGGAATTGAACCGGGTGCCTGATGCCCTGAGGCAGTTGTGTTAATCACTGAGCTACCATGTCAAACTTGAATAAGTCGTGGCATGAGAAGATTGGTGCCTGATGCTCTGAGGCAGTTGTGTTAATCACTGAGCTACCATGTCAAACTTGAATAAGTCGTGGCATGAGAAGATTGTTGTGAATAGTCAAGTATTGGTAATGTTAAATTGCATGACATAAATTCAATTCGATGACTTAGAAATAAATATAGGTCACTGGAGCAAAACCAGTGGTATAAAATGTTTGAAATATCAAATGCGTCAGTTGCAAGGATTTAAAATGCAATTTGCCGTTGCATGTTTATGGCGCCATCTCCTGTCCTTTAGTATTACTGCATTGATGTTTTTCCTACTCAAAAGGTCTTGGTAGCTTTTTAAAAGTCCGTTGTGGGGCATGAGCATCATCAGCAAGCCAACATTTTCTGCCTATCCCTAGTTACCCTTGAGAAGGTGGTGGTGGTGAGCTGCCTTCTTGAATTGCTGCAGTCATTGTGTTGTAGGTAGACCCACAATGCTATTAGGGAGGGAATTCCAGGGTTTTGACCCAACAACAGTAAAAGAACAAAAACAAAGTTGTTGGAAAAGCCTAACAAGTCTGGCAGCATCTGTGAAGAAAAAATCAGAGTTAACGTTTCGGGTCTGGTGCCCCTTCCTCAGAACAATGATATTAAACAACTGGATATCCTAGTGGAACCAGGGCTTATTGTATCATATTTGAACTGACTGATGGCAAGGGCAACACATACAAACTTATGAGTTAGCAGCAGAAGTAGGACTTTCAGCGTCTCAAGCCTGCTATACCATTCAACAAAATGATGGCTGATCTGTCCCAGGCATCAACTCCTCTTTCATGCCAGCCCAATTGTGTTTCATGTACAAGAACACCTAAATTCCTCTGTGTTTCACATTTTTGGAGAACCTCTCCATTTTCTAAGTGTCCAGCTATAATGATTGATGATTGATTCTAACAGCTTCCCCATAACAAACATTAACCCAATATAACAAGGTGTGGAGCTGGATGAACACAGCAGGCCAGGCAGCACCAGAGGAGCAGGAAAGCTGATGTTTCAGGTCTGCACTGTTCTTCAGAAATGGATCATTTCTAATGGAATATTAACCTAAACTGCCTATAGTTTGCCATTTCTTTCCCCTCTTAAACAGAGGGATTATATTCAATACTTTCCAGTCTGATGAAGTTTTTTGTTGAATTTAATGAATTTTGAAGACTCAACACCTTATTAGCCACCTCTTTTAAAACCCTGGGATAAAGTCCATCAGACCTGAGGATGTGGCACCCCACAGTTCCATCAGTTTGATCCATATCACTTTCCTAGTGATTATAATTTCAACATGTTCCTCTCTCTCTTCCACCTCCTCATTTACAAGTATTACTGCAAATTTTTTATATCCTCTGTAATGAAGATAGAAGCAAAATATTTGTTCTTTTCATCTGCATTAACTCCCCATTCTCATTCTTTTGACGATCAACAATCACTTCTTGTTCTTTTCCTTTGTAAATACCTGTAGAAAATATTTGTTTTACAATTTCTAGCTTGCTTAATCTCATGCTTTAATTTCTTCTGTCATTTTCTGTCTTTATATTCTATCAACCATTTGACCTGTCACTCAGCTTTGTCCAATTATATACTTTTCCTTAACTTTGATGCTTTCCTGAACTTCTTTAGTAAACCACAGATGCTGAGTCCTTCCTCAGAAATGTTCTTTATTGTGGTAATATACTGTAATGGAAATCGCCCCTTAAAAGTCTGTCATTGATTCTCTATTGATCTATCCCCTAGTCGCAGCCCAGTTCATTTGAGTTACTACAGCTTGCTGTTCTGCCCATATAGTTGCTCGTATTTAAGTTTAAAATATTTGTCTTAGACCTAATCTTCCCATCTACGAACAGGATGTAAAATTCATTCATATTGTGGTTATTAACATCTAGAGTTTCCTTTACAGGGAGGTAATTAATTAATCCCATCACATTATACAATACCAAGTTTGGTATAGCCTGCTCTCTGGTCCGTTCCGTAACATGTTGCTCTAAGAAATTGTTTCAGAAGCATCCTATCAATTCCTCATTCAGGCTACCATTGCCAATTAGATTTTTCCAATTTGTATGTAAAGTAAAATCACGCATGATTTATCACCCATTCCTTTATCACAAGCACCCAGTATTTCTTCTTGCATCCTTTCTATACATTGTGGTTGCTGTAATGGGACACCACTTTAAAAAGTGTGCTTCAGTAAACTATGGCTTAAATGTGATAAAGGAGATGAAATTGAATTATGGAATGATACTGCACAAGAAACAATTCAGACCATTATGCCTTTTCAATGACACTATCCCATTTGTCACACTCCTTGCTTGTTCCCCTTAAGTCTGAAAATGTTCAATTCTCTCTGAATGTTACTATTGAATCTGGTTTAACCACTGTTTTGTGCATTCCAGATATTATTATCTCAGTGCGTAACAATGTTCCCTAATAGTACCACGCTTCTTTGTGACAATGACCGGAAATTCAGTCTCCTGAACCTTCCACCTCTTTGTTTAATCTTCAAGTACAGCTTACCTTTTAAAATACCTTTTTTTTAATCCTATCCAGTACTGCCTCCATTTTTCCCAGTACATCAGCAGCATCTTCTTCTCTGTTGAAGACAGATGCAAAGCATGTATAGCTCAACTCTGCTTACTGCATCTACAATATTTCTATTTCAGTCCCTAACTGGCCTCAAATTTTCTCTAATTATCCATC